GAGGGCTCCTGTTTTACGTCGAGACGGCGGCGTTAGCGTGAAAATCACCCGAAACTTTTGTTTACATCCGGTCTATCTCTTATCTGAATATACTGTAATCTCTTCTGTAGGTTTGGATCTTGAGAACCTTTTCAGTGTTCCTTGGACGTTTCCTACTACTATTCTTTTACGTCTCTTAGCACTTAGGATCATATCAGCTCATTCAATTCCTTAAGGTCACATTTATAAACGTTCCTGTAGTGTTTCCTTGAAAAATATTTGCATTTGACACTAGACTGTAACATTTGTCATCAGAGGCTTTAATTGATGCCAGGAAAATTCTTCTTTGCTAGCTGTATTTAACATTTTGGACATATTGCTAAATATTAGTACGCTAATAGCAATTTAATCGCAGAGCGGACTAGGCATCCAATATTGCAATAGTGACAATTTCATCGTGTTTATACAGATTTGAAATTATTTTACTGGCCGTTTTTCGTAATAGTAATAGTGAGAAGAGTATGTCATTGGAACAGATGCTAGACAGGTTGAAAGTAATAGCTGAAAATAAAACACACAGATGTCTCCATCTTCTTTATTTTGAAAAGCCGCAATTGGAACAAGGTTATGAGGATCTATAATAAGAATAACATGATGAACATGACATGCAAAAAATTATGGGAAGACAAAAGTAGTTAGAATGCTTCACCAAAGTTGTTTTTCGTGAAGCATTTTCTTTTCAGCTTTAACATCATCTTTTCCGAACATTGTAAACCCAGCACACTCATCCCTTTCCTTCTAAATTACATAACTTTCCAATTTATAAAAATATAAATCCGAACACCCAGTTTAAATGGTTTTATTTTAATAAAAGTTGGTGAATATATTTATCTTAGTGTAAATAACAAGTGAAACAATTTTCAGCCTTATCAGTTGGACATTCCGGTTTTTATACTGCTTTTTTTTTTAATTCACTAACGCTCTAAAAATGAATATTTCAGCCGCAGTAAAGAATCAACGTTGGCGGATTTTGGTTCTTGACATCCTTTACAATCGGTTACGATGCCTAGAGAGTGCAAAGAAGTGTAGACACTGTGGTTAGGTGTTGTCAGGCATGGCTTCGAGAAGGCCGTACCCAAAGGGCAAGGGGCTCTGGACGCCGCCGTAGAACAACAGACCGTGAAGATCGCCGCCTAAGATTATTGGCCTTAAGGGACCGTTTCTCCACTACCAGGTCCATTGCAAATGAATGGTTTGCAGAACACGGAAGACCTGTTGGCATGCGAAGTGTTTACCGACGAATGAGCAGTTTTGGCTTGTTTTCATACCGGCCACACTGGGTCCTCCCTTTAACTCGAGAACACCGACGTAATCGCCTTGAGTGGTGCAGACAACGGTCACTCTGGGATCAGGAATGGAACAGTATTGTCTTTAGTGACGAGTCTCGATTTTGTTTAGACATGCACGATGGTCGTGCCAGGGTTAGAAGGCGACGTGGTGAAAGGAGGAATCCACAGTTTTTTGTTGAAAGACATGTTCATCACACTGTTGGAGTTATGGTTTGGGGTGCTATAGCTTATGGTTCCAGGTCACCTTTAATCTTCATCAGAGGTAACATGAATGCGCAGCGTTATATCCACGAAGTTCGAGAACCCCATCTTTTACCCTATCTTGACACCCTGGCAGATCCAACTTTCCAACAAGATACTGCCCGACCACATGTTACAAGAGTCACAATAGACTTCTTTCAACATAATGATGTCACATTGTTACCATGGCCACCAAGATCTCCCGACTTATCCCCAATTGAGCACGTGTGGGATATGATAGGTAGGAGATTGCTCAATTTGCAACGTCCTCCTCAGAGTCTAGAAGCACTTCGAGAGGAGTTGGTGGTTGCCTGGAATGAGATACCACAGGAGGACATTGACCACCTGATCAGAAGCATGCCTAGGCGCGTTGGAGAATGCGTAGCACATCAGGGTGCATCCACACATTATTAAAGCAGTGCAATCATTTTGAAATTTTTATCATTTACTTATTATGCTTCATTAAGTACTTATACAAAATTTTATTAAAATAAAACCATTTAAACTGGGTGTTCGGATTTATATGTCACTTAGTATATAACTGCGACCATACAAAATTCTGTCAACCCAAGAACTACAGCCTAGTGGCCATGAAAGTCATGCAATATTGCAGCTTAATACGCAAAATAACGATTTTTACCGACAACTGATGAAAAAAATGTACGTATTTTATTTCATTTCACAAATATTAAGATACAAACCAGCGAGTTACATATCGGCCACGCTGTACATTATATTGGCCTTGTTATCGTGATTTCGCTCATACCAACATTTTAAGCTTTATAATGCCGGAACCACCTCACCACATACTTTATCCGTTGGATACGATGATATACAACATAAATACAACATATCCCCCATCCCGTAATCGCAACTTGACGCGGTGATCGGTCCATAACTGTACCTGCACACGCCGCGATGTTTCATTTTTGTTATCGAGCATATCGTAGTAAGTCACGGTTGCATGTCATGCAACATTGAAAGCAACGCGGGGCATCGCATGCGATCTTTCAACAGCCTTCTTGATGCTTAATTGAATCGTAACGTGAAATGGAATACTATCATCTTGAAATGTACACGCTTACACTTCTTGCGATTGTCATTCGTGCGTTTCTTGCACAACCGTGCTTTATTTTTAACACGCTTTTATTAGCTTGGCCTGTATGTATGTGTGAACCAGATAAAGGTGTATAATAATTGTAACCCAGAAACACCCCTATACAGGGTGTCCACAAAGTTGGGGTTTTCCTTTCCAGAAACAACTACCCTTGAAATAACAAAGGTAATGTGTAGTGAAACGAGGGCGACCGAGTAAAAAAAATAAAGGAAAAAGTACTCACTCTCCAGTTGACGAAAAGGGCTAAGTACGTCTCTGCCCGAAATCATACCGCTCCAACAGAAAATGAAATCAGCTGATGCGCTACCGAGCAGACGCTAGGCAAACAAGGAAGGCAAAATGTTGCGTAAAGAGTCTAGGTATTGCATCCCGTCCAATCGATTTGGGAGAATAAATGGTCCAATGAGCATACCGTTCACCATGGCAGCCCAAACATTCACCGAAAATGTTTGTTGAAAATGACCATACATGAGTGTTGCGAAAGTTATTCACCCCATTATGCGTGAACGTAGATTCGTCTGTCACCAATATGCACTTCAAAAAGTCCTGACCTTGTACCAATCGGTGATGTCCCGGGTCGCGGCTACAGGACGGTATTCAGATATTTTTGATGTTGCAGAGCCCTTTATCTCGGTTCCCTTAAGACATTGGTGTATAGGGTACTAAGAAAAATTGCTTATGTTTTCAAGATCTACACGTCGTGTAAAGGAAAACCCCAACTTTGCGGACACCCTGTATAAAAAAAATGTTATAATGATGTTTAATTAAAGCGTTTGTTGTAATTTACACCTAATTAACCGATATGTCCTTTTTCCAATTTTCAATATCTGTTTTGAATTTGGTTCCATCATCTGCAACCTGAAACCTGACTATGTCCATATTTATAACCGTTAAACTTTGTGCGTTTTATTTATTTCCGAATTCGCTTTTGTCGACGATGAATAACATAAAAAAGCAATACCCAAGCGCCCGTACACAATGGCTAATTTTTAAAAGCCCAGTGTTCGGTTGTTTTATAATACGTTTTGTTTTCACGGCTGTGTTGATTTGCATTTATCCGGATCACAATAGTATGAGTGATGGGCGTATCGAATAAAACATGTTCATGTTTTAATGTAATATACAACTAGTATGTGTAAATAATCCGAATGGGGGAATGGATATACATCCGTATGTTCGGTATGGATATTTATTATCAATGGGTGTACATTTTGAATATACGTATTACGGCGAATTAGGGAGAAATAACGTAATTGTATGGCCAACGACGTGGTCTCAGCTAAGTTGGGCAATGTTGATAAACAACATAATACAAGCGAGATATCAACATCATTGACCGACAAATATATTAATGCTGTCAAACAACGGCTAATGGTGATATAACGAAATATGTAAAACATCCTATTATACAGGGTGGCACATCGGAAACGAAACAGACGCATTTACTGGCAGCTTAGTTTTTTTTTTGGAAAAACGCTCAGACCCGTCGTAAGAATCACGTTAACACGTGCAGCCCCCTGGGCGGGGGTGACACCAACCCTAAAATCTTAAATGGAAAGGGGGGTCGACTGATACCTTATTTTAAAGGTCTTTCAATTCCCTTTATAATGATGTAAAATACATGAGCTTCAGTTCGAACTTTAATAGGTACATCAGATTAGTTTCTACTACTTTCAGAAGAAATTTGACTAAAAGAATTTACTCAATAAGTGAATGCTTTTCTTCACTACGCCCATGGTTTATCATTTTGTTGTTGAAAATAGCTATTGGAGCGTTTTTTTGCGGCAAAAAAGTTATATCTTGAAGAAAGATAAGGAAATATCTTGTACTTATTTTAAATAGGAATTTAGTACATAGTTTGCGGTTGATTTGACCAAGCTTTGTTTTATTTCATAAATAAACCACAACCACAGCAGAAAGAGTTGAAATCATCAAAATATTTTTGGCGGTCATTTAGTTGGTCCTTTTTTCTTACCTGGAAATTTGACCGGTGAAATGTATTTGGAATTACTGGAAGACGCATTACTGCATTTTTTCTGTTGTTAAATAGCATGCTTTTGAAAAATATTATTTTCGGGCTATTATCATCCAGGATGCAAAAACCAGCATATTGGCGATCTAGATAAGTATTTGTTTTCTATGGGTAACATCAAGTAAGGCTTATTCGCTAAAAAGTAACTTAAGAAGTCACGTTCTTCAGGGCCCTGGACCGCTGTGACGAAGCCATTTTGGACATTTTCGTACAAGAACTTGAATCGTTATTATCGTAGGACGCACATCTTCAATTTCAGATCCTTATATACATACTGGTACACTAGCTAGATGACCCTTAATCTAAATTTGTATACATTATTCTGCAGATTCGTCAATCAGGAGACGTGAAACCATCGCAATGGACGTCGAAGAGAAAACCAACCCTTCACCAAACCCCATCGCTATGAAGTATCCCCAAAGGTGGAGTGTAAAGATACTCAACGACACCTGAAAATCCCCACCTAAAAATGAAGCCTATAACCTTCGAAAACCTCCGCCGTCTGGTAGGCGGTGGAAGGAAAAAGAAAGACAAAGAGTGCTCGTTCAAACGAAGCGATTCTTTCAAAAGGATCTCAATTCGGAAGAGTTACCTGGATCGGGGCAAGAAGAAACACATCTCGAAGCTGGAGGTCGCTACTCAAACCGTCACCGAAGAAGAGCTGCTAGCTGAAACGAAAAAGGTGGATTCATCGTGCCAGGTGGACAGACAAGAGCTGAATGCTGGAGAGGAAACGTATAAGAAGCCGGAACCGAGGTGCAATACTAAGTACAAAGTCGAGGTGAACAGTGAGCATAGCGTAGTAGCTTATGGCCAGTGGTTGAACGGCATCAGGAAGGATGACCATCCTTGCCATAGTGGCATCAAAGGGTCAGAAAGGACTATAATCTACGTGCCAGCGTCTGATGAGAGGCCCCCATCACCGGTCATCAGACAACTATCTTCCTCACCTGTCTTCAGGAAAAAACCCTCGCCAGTACCTAAGAAAAGAGTCAGTCCCAACCTTCAAAGGAAAGAAAGCAATGACTCCGCTGTGGAGATGTTCCCTTGGGGCGACAGCACTGACGTCAAGAAATCACCGTTAGTTAGGCGAAGATCCAGACACCAATCACCACCGTTGATGCCTGATTCCGGCACCGAAGAGTTGTGTTCTTTGTCCATCAGCTTGGGCAGAGTCTGGATGGACGCTCCTCAAGTGATGGCCCCGAGAAGCCTGGAGCTCCCCAAGTCTTCGAATCCTCCTCCACCGGCTCATCATTCTCTAGACAGCGCTTTAAAAGACCTTAGAGAAGATCCTATCGTGATGAACAGGCTTCAGAAGAGGCCTACCCCTCCCGTAGCGAGGACGTTGTCTTCGACCAGCAACACAACCGCCTCAACAGGATTGTTTTCTAGCAAAGACTCGGGTTTTTCGTTCTCGATCAGTGATTTCCACGCGAACTTTGCGCCATCCTCCAAAGGTTTCTTCAGGAAGAAAAGACCAAAGCCTAAACTGTCGGTCAGTAGAGACGGGTATTTCAAACGAACTAGCGGTGCTTTAGCGGTCGATCCTGCAAGGAACTCCGTGAAACGACGGAGTAGTCGGAAGAAGAAAGGAAAGAAATCGAAGAAGAATGGAACCGTAAAAAGTGACTTGTATCAAGTCGTGGTAGGTAGACCGGCGAAGTCTTTGAGGACGCTCAAGTTGGACCCGATGATTTTCGTCCCGCCGGAGAAACGGAAAGCGAAAGTGTCGCGTAAACCTTCGTTTGGTGTGAACGAAATCAGACATCTGAATCCCGTGTACAACAAGAGCGACGAGGAAGGTACGTACGAGTCTCTACCGAGGAGCTACGAAGACCACAGCGGGCGGATGTCGAGACTGAGCTTGAGAGAGGAGGAATTGGAGAATTTCGAGTACGTTTCCGAGGAAAGTGCCGCGGAGAGTGATTACGAGGGTAGTTCGAAAAGTAGTGGTAGTCGGTATGTGCCTCCCGGAGTGTCACCGGTGCCCAGGAGGAAGCCCGCCAGGCAGAAAAAGAAGAGTTTGGCGCATAAGAGGAGCATCACGTATCTGGTGAAACCGAACATCATCAGGGCTCCGTCTACGTTGAAGAGACCGACCAAAAAGACAGGTAAACGAAAGTAGAAAATAGGTTAACTCAACAGCTAAAAGCTCAGGATGTTTCACTACGAAACAGCTCCTTGTAACGTAAAAGAATTAGAAAAATCGCAAATAAGACATCAAATGGAAAATATACTAAGTGACATATAAATCCGAACACCCAGCTTAAATGGTTTTATTTTAATAAAAGTTGGTGAATGTATTTATCTTACTGTAAATAACAAGTGAAAAAATTTTCAGCCTTACCAGTTGGACATTCGGGTTTTTATACTGCTTTTTTTTAAAATTCACTAACGCTCTAAAAATGAATATTTCAGCCGCAGTAAAGAATCAACGTTGGCGGATTTTGGTTCTTGACATCCTTTACGATCGGTTACGATGCCTAAAGTACGGAGACCTGTACGATTTCGTCAACTTAGTGAGTTTGATAGGGGCCGTATAGTGGAACTTGGGGAAGCTGGACTTTCTTTTCGGGCAATTGCAGTTAGAGTGCAAAGAAGTGTAGACACTGTGGTTAGGTGTTGTCAGGCATTGCTTCGAGAAGGCCGTACGCAAAGAGCGAGGGGCACTGGACGCCGCCGTAGAACAACAGACCGTGAAGATCGCCGCCTAAGATTATTGGCCTTAAGGGACCGTTTCTCCACTACCAGGTCCATTGCAAATGAATGGTTTGCAGAACACGGAAGACCTATTGGCATGCGAAGTGTTTACCGACGAATGAGAAGTTTTGGCTTGTTTTCATACCGGCCACACTGGGTCCTCCCTTTAACTCGAGAACACCGACGTAATCGCCTTGAGTGGTGCAGACAACGGTCACTCTGGGATCAGGAATGGAACAGTATTGTCTTTAGTGACGAGTCTCGATTTTGCTTAGGCATGCACGATGGTCGTGCCAGGGTTAGAAGGCGACGTGGTGAAAGTAGGAATCCACAGTTTTTTGTTGAAAGACATGTTCATCACACTGTTGGAGTTATGGTTTGGGGTGCTATAGCTTATGGTTCCAGGTCACCTTTAATCTTCATCAGAGGTAACATGAACGCGCAGCGTTATATCCACGTAGTTCTAGAACCCCATCTTTTACCCTATCTTGACACCCTGGCAGATCCAACTTTCCAACAAGATAATGCCCGACCACATGTTGCAAGAGTCACAATTAGACTTCTTTCAACATAATGATGTCACATTGTTACCATGGCCACCAAGATCTCCCGACTTATCCCCAATTGAGCACGTGTGGGATATGATGGGTAGGAGATTGCTCAATTTGCAACGTCCTCCTCAGACTCTAGAGGCACTTCGAGAGGAGTTGGTGGTTGCCTGGAATGAGATACCACAGGAGGACATTGACCACCTGATCAGAAGCATGCCTAGGCGCGTTGGAGAATGCGTAGCACATCAGGGTGCATCCACACATTATTAAAGGTCAAAGGGCTTTAAAGCAGCGCAATCATTTTGAAATTTTTATCATTTACTTATTATGCTTCATTAAGTACTTATACAAAATTTTATTAAAATAAAACCATTTAAACTGGGTGTTCGGATGTATATGTCACTTAGTATATATTGAACAGAATAAGACGTGTCCTTGCTGAAAATATTTTCATTCACGCCAAGAGTTCTTTAATATGTGCACTGTCTGTTATTGCTTTTTAAATTAATTTTATTATTTTACTGAATCCGCATCTAAATTGTGGCGATTTACATATATTTTATATACAGGGTGGCGCATGGAAAACGAAGCAGACGTCTGAGCGTTTTTACAAAAAAAATTGCTGCCAGTAAATGCGTCTGTTTCGTTTTCGACGCGCCACCCTGTATACACATATATGTGATCTCCATTCCGCTACTACTATATTCGATTACCTATGAATCCAATAAAATTTTGTTGCACAGCTACCCTGCGATAAAACTTTAACGTATGTATTTTTATATGGTGCAGGTGTTTCGTTGTACAGTGCTGCAAATAACTGGTTGAGTATTTGTCACTTGACAATTAAATTTACAGTAACAACTCAATTTGTTGAACATTTTTACATCCAGTTTGTTGAATAAAATGTAAACCCGTTAAACATATTTCCATTATCTAATTTTCCACCGGATGATGCACCGGCACTTTGCGCGTTTAAGAGGGGCGTTTGAACTGGCCATGTATGCACAGCCGCGTGTTTTTATTTAGTACCTACGGGATCATCTTGGACGAAATAAATCTTTCAGACATCAAATCTCTCACAACCCGAAAATTAAAGTATTTATTCCTAGCAAAAACAATGTTTATGATTTTTTCATAAAATTTGTTTAAACAAATTTGGACTGCTCTCCCACGAAGACGACGATAATTGTGCAATAATCTTGATGGCCGGGCGCTGACTCCACTTTGGATTGGTGCTGTTAATATTCTCTTTCTAACTTCTTTTTCCGGATGTTAACACTGCGCTTGTGTTGCGTTTTTATCAGCATTGTCCAAACTTCTGGGCATTCATGTTATTGCCCGGCCATGAACGTCAATATAACGAACCTTGTCATTGCTCTTAACGTATATATTTGAACGCCCCTCCTAAACATGTTATTATTTTCCTCTGGGTGATGCACTCTGCGTTTTGTACATTTAAATGGCGGCGCGCTGTGCATTTTGCAAATGTGGCTCACTCGTCAAAATAATTTAGCAGCGCTGTTGATTCTGTTATAACAGAACAAATGGGAAAAAGGCTACCGGTGGAAAGTAACAAAGAGAGTGCACTGCGTCGGGCATGTACTGAAAAAAATTTCATTTTCGTTTTTTTTTTTTCATTTCCAAATTGAAAATTGGACGAAACTAGTGGCGTCGAGTAGGTTGACTCTGATGTGATGCTTAAGCATATAATGGGTGATTTTTTTGCTAGTACCTTTTTGGCAACATTGTTTATGACAGATGACGCGCGAATCGTGTCTTGTGTCATTGTCAAACTTGTTCAGTTTGGTCTATAATTTGACCATGAATCGACTTACGAACGAACAACGCTTGCAAATTATTGAATTTTACTATCAAAATTCATGCTCGGTTAAGAGAGTGCATCGAGCACTGCTTCCAATTTATGGGCAATTATAATTTTGCGAAAGGATTTGGGTGTAAAACCTTATAGGATACAGCTGGTGCAAGAATTGAAGCCACACGACCTCCCACCACGTTTCCCATTTGGTGAATGGGCGCTGGCAAAGTTGGAGGAAGATCCACATTTTTATCGCAAAATTGTGTTCAGCGACGAAGCTCATTTCTGGTTGAATGGGTACGTTAACAAGCAAAATTGCCGCATCTGGAGTGAAGACCAGCCAGAAGCATTGCAAGAGCTAGAGCATTTATTCGTGAAATACCGGCCGATATATTGGAGAGAGTGTGCCAAAATTGGACCTTGCGCATGGGCCATCTAAAGCGGAGCCGCGGCCAACATTTACATGAAATAATCTTTAAACATTAAATTATATCGACCGTTCTATCGACTCGAATAAAGATTTAATCGCTTTTTAAAATTTTTTGTGTTTTTTTTTTTTAAATCAAATCCTCTTAAAAAATCACCCGTTATTAATAATAATTTTCGTAGTTCCCCTATTTTGCACGCCCCGCGACTGGCTCGGAAATGTACATCTCTCAACGATTCTCAATGCCGCGCCGGGTACGGGGCACTTTAAGGACCGCTGGGAAGAAGTATAATTTACCCTGTTTGTTGATGTGGCGTATGGAACGATAGCCGCGAAGAAAATGCAGGCTGCAAAGTTGAAATAACCCCATAAACAAGGAGCGGAGAACAAAGTATAAATAAAAATGGCGGTGTCGGGAGCGTCATAATGGGAAATATTTATCAAAACGGGATACGTGCGCCGGGAAGTTAAGATGACCATTTCTGTAGCGCCACGAAGCACGAAGGGCGGAAAGTTTTGAAGGAGACACACATACCGGGATGAAATGTGGAAAGATGAAGATAGAAGTACAGGGTTGACTCTGCACTCCCTAGACAACATTGACATCGATTTCATAATGGCATAAGTTAACACGTAGTAGTAGTAATTTGGGCGCTAACATGCATATCACAGGAATTAATTGGATCGTATCAGTCAAACAGGCTCATACAGACTTGACAAGAATGGTAAATCTGCCTACCTCAGCACTCGGAAACCCAGCACGGCGTTGCATACTCGGATATACGCAACATCGCTCAGTTATCCCTCAGCGTTCGACGCAGACGTTAACAAATAATGTCTGACTTTCGGAATTTTTCGCGATCTTAGTGTTGTCTCGCCAGTAGCGTAATAAGTAAAAACACACGTTTGATAGATTTTTTCTAAATTTGGAACATTTGGAGCTGTCTCCACTTAAACCAGTCTTTGCTCGATATAAAAAACCTAAATAACTCTGAACAAGAAAACGTTCTGAATGCACTCGCAATGATTCCCATGGTGAACTATCATTATTGCTTTTAGGTTCATACATTTAGTCCATGGTCCCCACATACTTGACAAGATTGGTAAATCTGCCTACCTCAGCACTCGGAAACCCAGCACGGCGTTGCATACTCGGACACACGCAACATCGCTCAGTCATCCCTCAGTTTTCGACGCAGACATTCAAAAATAATATCTGATTTTCGGAATTTTTCGTGATCTTAATGTTGTCTCGCCAGTAGCGTAATAAGTAAAAACACACATTTGATAACTTTTTTCTAAATTTGGAACATTTGGAGCTATCTCCACCTCATCCAGTTTCAGCTCGATATAAAAAACCTAAATGACTCTGAACAAGAAAACGTTCTGAATGCACTCGCGAAGTATCAACAGCAATGATTTCCATGGTGAACTATCATTATTGCTTTTAGGTTCATACATTTAGTCCATGGTCCCCACAGACTTGACAAGATTGGTAAATCTGCCTACCTCGGCACTCGGAAACCCAGCACGGCGTTGCATACTCGGACACACGCAACATCGCTCAGTCATCCCTCAGCGTTCGACGCAGGCATTCAAAAATAATATCTGATTTTC